ATTAGGAACAAGGAAGGAAACATACCACTTGTGGTGGCATGTGTCCATAGGAGGAAGTCTATGTCATCCTATCTGTGCTCCATAACTCCGTTTGAGTTCTTACTTCCAAAAAATAGCAACCAGGGTATCTTGTTCCTCAAATACTGTGTACTCAACTCCATGTTTGGTAAGAGTTGGTTGCTATGCTTTCCTATTTCTAAGCTCTAATTCATTGTTAATTCTTTCCATATGCATTTTGGATTGTATACACATGACTTTGATCTGTTGTTACTTACATTTGATACTAGATGTTGGTTTGGATCTATTCCTTCGTTGTCCGTAATTGGCAGCTGCCACTAAAAAATCCATTACTATTTCAGAATTGTCTGTTCACCCTTCTCTATTCCTTGACGGAACAGTGCTCGAACCTTATGGACAACTTTTGTATAAATGTTGGTAACACTCTCCCTTTCTCTTTAGTTTTCTTTCCCACATTTATTTATTCGAGAGTATTGAGGATAGACCTAGCAAACGGGCGGGTTGGGTCGGGTCAACTCGGGTGACGGGTTAAACGGGTTGGGTTATAAACGGGTTGCGGGTTGGAAACATCCAACCCTAACCCGACCCTAACGGGTTACGAGTTAACCCGCGGGTTAACCTTATTTTATTCTTTATAATTATTTTTCGTTAATTTTATTATACACAAATAAAATTATCTATATATAAATATAATTAAAATATTGTGGTTCATTAACACTAAATACTTTATAATTTCAACTACAAACATTTAAATTAAGAAAAAAATAAAAAGGTTATAAATAATAATAAATTGATTAATAATAAAAATATTAAACGTAAAATATTTAAATTTCTTGAAAAATAAAGTTTTAATTTTATAATCATCTTGAAATATTATTAAGTAGTTTAGTCCATTTTTTTAATGATGAAATTGCTCTTTCAAGAACATCTTTCACTAAGTTATTATGTTTATGTCCTAACATCATATCTTTTAATATTTTTAGTTGCATTATCATTTCATTCATGATA